GTGCCGTACGCCATTATACTCCAACAGGTACCGCTGCTTCGGCTGCTTCAAGGCTCCATTTAAGAGCATGTAACAAAACACAGATTGTATCCGTGATCAAGCTTGACCAATCCTCACACTACAAACCAAGGAATCCACAACCCTGATCTTTAAGCCTTTAAGCCATTCTGAGTGAAGCTCTGCAGAGGCTGGGCCGGCAGGCACCAAACCGGCGCTGAGGCGGCCAAGCAGTCGTGCCAAGCTGTGGCCTCAGCAGCCCCATTGTGCTGAAAGAGCTTCGTTGCAGTGTTCTTCGTTTCCGGCTGCTATCGAAAGATCTAGGCAGATGTCTTTCTCATACAGCCGAGGCATAGATCACGAGACATCTGCCTAGCAGCAGGGGGTACTAGATAGCGGCGCAGTACGCGACTGTGAAAACCCAAGTGCAAAGGCTGCGCGCCAGCTCCGCAGACTCCCAAACAGGACATCGAGGCTCGTGTGTCCAGCAACTTTGACCTGAAGCAGAATCCGGAAAGCGGGGGCAAATGACTCCTCGCTTGAAGGAGGATCCTCGGGCAAAGTTTCCGAGACCAGCCAGGGAAGGCCTCGGCATTTCGGAAACGGGTCGGGCGGTGGGGGCTCTCGCAAGCGCTTTGATTCTGTGGGTCAGGAGAGCCGCCTCACCGCAACCGGAGCGCTGGAAGCACTGAGGGGTAGAACCTTCTCCCGGAAAGCCGTGCAGTGTTGGCTGAGACCGCCGCGGCAGCGGCACAAAGGCCCCGTAGCTCGCAGCTTCGTTCTTGTCTCGCCGATCCGCGCCTGCATCGGCTGTGGGCTCTAGAATTCACAGCACCATCACCGCCGCGTTCCTGCTCTCGTCCGACCAATGCGACGACGACTACGTAGGACTGCCCAAACATGTCCAACAAAGGGGTCCCGAAATTGTTTTGGACCTTTCCTTGCATGTCACCCATAGAGCCAACTACCGCAAATTCACCCAGAATGAAGAGTTTGTTACAAATCTTGAGAGAACACGGTGGCGTGCTGAGATGATAGTAACGTTTCGGAAATGTTCCGTGCGTCAGGAAAGGGCAAGGGGTCTTGGAATCAGCTCAGAGCTGTGAGGCACATGACAGTGTTCATCCATGTGCATGTGATGTTGCAAAACACGGGTATATGTTGACACCAGCAGAACTACCAGTGCCGGTCGAAATCGTTGTGGAGCTAGCGGGGCTAGACATTCAGAATCGGCTCATGCAAACGAGCGGCCGCCGCACGGTTCGTGGCGTGGGAATGTGCCCGTGAACAAGCATCATGTGCCAAAAAACTGATGGTCTTCAGGAAGACCCCGGCTTGGTATTCGATTACGACCTGCTAAAAACACAGGGAGAGAGAGACATGCGTTTGATCGTTGGTCGGACGGTGGCACTTTGCGCCGACGGGACTGCTGCCTTACCTGTACAAACCAGGGCAAAGTCAAAGTGCAGCCTCCCCGCCCGTGCACGCATCTGGATTGGCAAGGAAAGACTATGCTGCACTTTTGAGTTGAAGTGTGTCTGTGCGTGCAAGGTTGTTCTGCATACTGCCCTGTTGATAGCAGTGGAGTGTAGAGGTTTGCATAGGTGCTTTAGTTTGTAAGCATCGGGCATGCTGTCAAGTCTTACTGTGTAGGAATCCGCCTGTAAACAGGGCACTGTTGATCGGGAGGCACCACTGGGAGTTCCGCGCGACCACGCTGTTTCTGGTCGTCTGCTGTCTGGAGATCAGGCTTTTCGCACGGGCATGCCTGAAACAACCTAGTGCATGCCTGCCTTAAGCTTGATACGGGACTCATGCCTCCAGTCGCGAGAACCACAGAATTGTTGAGAATGAAGGATATAGGCTGCACAATGTTTGGGGGCTGGGCCAAACCAGCCCTGCTGACCTTCTGCATCCCCAATTACCTCCCCTCCGATCTCGTAGCACGGATAGCACCTCCCCCTGAGTGACCTCATCTTCGCCGTCGACTCGGTGAGCGCGATCGTGGCACAGGTCAACGACCTGTTCCTGGCGTAGCTGTCTCAGATGTGCAGTGTTCGTGGGAAGCCAGGGAGGTCAGGTGCACGTGATTGTTTGGCCGGAGCAGCACACCTCTCCAGTCACCGCATTGCTTCAGGTACACCTCTGCGGTCTTTGCGATGCTGGGCCTGCGCGCAACATTCTTCATCATCGCCGCTGGCTTAAACCCTTGTTGCGTAAGCCATCGAGAAATCGCAGCGGGGAACGTGTTTTCTTGGTCCCTAAAGCCAACCTGATATTACTGCTCGCCTGACGATGACCGCGCCCAGCCTGCCAGTGATTTGGCGTTGGGTATTTTTGAGTAATTATCACTGCCTTGGGACTCGGTACCGAGGATACAGTGAGCGCTCCGGAAAATCAGTAGCTCAGGACGTGCTCGTCCACATGTTCGAGCTTCTCAAATACGGAGTGGCGGCAGTCTCTCGACATCAAAAAACGACGAAGGGCCCCTCTAGCCTAAACACTAATACAGGATTGCTACACGTGGTTGTGTCACCGTACCTTCGATGGTCGACCCTAGGCATTGAACAGACGCGTAACTGACGTGTAGCAGGTGCTCATCTTCATTGGAGTGAAGCTCATTCTGGCCCATCACTACACCATCGAGCCAGCGACTGGGCTCTCAACAGCCCAGTGTGTTCAACAGTCCCAGCAACATGAAGGGGTTGCACACAGCCTTTGGCTCGAAACCCGAAGCTTCCGCAAGCCTGTTGCAGCACACTGTGGTCCTGGTCCTCATCGGCTGCATCGGGGCCTCCATGGTCGCCTCGGTGATGAAGGCAGGAGACAACGAGTTCTGCTCTGTGTGTTCTGCTACCTTTGGAAGAGGTCCAGTCGAAGGTGGTAAAACATCACGCCGCATGACCTCAATGTCATCATCATCATCGTCATCATCACCATCACCATCATCACCATCATCTTCACATCATCATCATCATCATCATCATCATCATCACCATCATCATCGTCATCATCACCATCACCATCATCACTATCATCTTTATCACCACCTACGCTGTCATCATCATCATCATCATCATCACCATCATCATCATCATCATCTTCATCATCATCGTCATCATGCACACACACACAGAGTAAAATAACTACACGCGCCGTGCCGTTCAGCATCTCGGGTTCATTCAGTTTTGTAACTTGCCAGCTGAGCATGACTGTTCCAAGACAGCACACAGGCCCTCCTCACCCTTTTTTTCCGTGAGCTCTGCCCATGAACCCATCGAGGCAGAGATGGAGAAAAAGATGCAGGGCCACGACCCGGAGGCCTGCATCATGGGTGTCTCTGACACATCAACCTGAGCGGCCCTCGCAGAATAATCATCCCTTTCTCCAGGATGTCGCCAAGCGTGTGGAGCAGGCACCCGCGTGCGAAGGGCCTCGTGGATTCAGGGCTAATTCCAAGCGGACGGGGCTGCATCATGAGGAAGAGAAGCTGCATGAAGAGGCTCATTTGACTAAACAGACGGTTTTGCTGGTGTTTCTGCCTTGCGCTCGTGTACTTTCGAAACGAGACAGGAGTGCTTAATTAGGTGTGTAGCAGATGGTCTGCGTCCAACAGACAGCCCCCGGGCTTTCCAGCGCAGTTGCTCACCACCCAGCATCTGTGGAAGGTCAAGGAGAAGACATCTCCTTTCACTTCGCCCTACGCGTGCTTCAGTCAGCAGTGGTCATGTTATGCCGGTGTTATGTTGCATGGCCTGGCGGCAGGGTTCGGCTGTTTCGAAGTATTCGGGTGGATCTACTCCAACATACGAAACAATGCAACACGTAATCGACCTCGGCTGTCGTTTGGGTGGGAGAGCTCCAACTTCAGAGGGCCAGGGTGCAGTCACGTGGATGTCAACATGTCGCTTTCAAAGATCAGGTAGTGCTTCATAGTGGGGTTCACCAGAGCCTTGGAGGGGGGGGGGAGTGTGAGACGCCTTATGCAGCCAGAGGCCTGCAGCCCTGCCTACTCAGCGCGCCTGCTGAAGTGCTGGCCGGATTTGACCGGCAAGCCGCCACGTCACCAATGGGCCTTGCCTGCGTTCCGTGCTTCACTGTTTCCGCAGAGCTCCTGCAGAGAGCGACACGTTTCATGGCCTCATAAGACCTCGCCGGTGCCACGATAAGGGAGCCAGGAGTGCAGGGAGGATCTCAGGTGATTTTACGGGAACTGAGAGCCAGGCTCCTTCTGGTTGCCAGGTCGTTGTTTAAGGTCCTCCTTCAGACTTTCTGAAATGCTCCCGTGCGCGCCGGGAATAAGAGCCAGACCGCTGACGCTCTAGCTCACCTTCTGTGACTTCTGTTGTCGCGGACCAGAAGTTTCTGAACTTGGAGCGAAACAGGGCCGAGGGCGAGCGCGCAATATTGGGCCTTCACGTGTATTTGAGGTGTCCTTGAGTGCGACGACTTGTTTAGTACACACTCTGGACCTCCCAGTGATATCGTGCTGCCGACTCCGGCTCCCAGATCAATTTTGTAGATTTGGCCGTCAAACCTGCGCGACGGCCCAACTTCTTCTGACGAGCCGCATAAGCCAGGAACCACGACGACCTGACCAGCACGCTGTCAACCTCCGGTCTAGAGCTGGAAGAACATACCGGGACATAGAGGATTTTTGCGATTCCTGCTGCCGAGCTCCGGCGATTTGGAGCCGGCAGTCATGGCCGGGGCAGACTGCAGCAGCTGACATCGCTCTGCTGGCGTGCCGGCGTGTTCACGTGTTGTGGATGACGTGACTTGGCAGGTATGCAGTAGAAATATCCGCAGAGCAAGACGTACCGGAGCCTAGGCCCTTGGACTGAAAAGCTTTCCATGTATTGCCCGAAACTATGTCGAGCCTGTCGTCAGATGTGCGTAATCGCAGCTGTGACTGTGACATGCCCGTCAGCTCAACATCTCACAGGGAGCACATTGCATCAGCGTCAATCGTCCCCGACACGTCCAAGGAAACATATTTCCGGATGTGCTCCTTCTGGGATGGCCAAGGCGACATTTGTAGCTCAGGCTTCAGAAGCTTGGGGCCGTCGGAAATTGGAAACTCGGTTGTGAGGCCAGGGTATATAGCGCTCTGACGCGCAAGCGAGCTGAGGCTTTCTGACTCTGCTATGAAGACTACGGGGTGGACGAGCGATCATGATTCATGTGAGACTATTCTGAAGACTCCCCAGAGCGCTCGTCAATCTCAGTCGAACCTGGGGATGTCCGACGCTTCTGCAACGGCCGCCTGGTGCCCACGAGAGCTTCCCAGGCCGGGTGTCAGTTTTGCTTTTTCTGCCAGAGTCTTCGTGCGGGTCTCGGGGGAGGCCGTCCCGGGGCAGCCTCTGATCTTCGGCCCCGCCGAGGATGCCATCGAGGCCATCAAGGGCTCCGCTCTGGGAGGGATGCTGCAGATGCTGCCGGAGGATGCTGACGATGAGGATGATGGAGACCATGATGATGATCATGAGACTCACCGTAGGTGCAGCGACGGGCTTGGTACTGCTCGCTAGGCTTAGATCGATATTGCACTCACCCTCTGCGAAGATGCTTCAGAGAGCCGTCGACATGACCTTGGGAGTCAGAACCAGAGTTAGACAAGGCGCAGAGCGCGGCCGTGGGGCCCAGTGGACGGGAGGTGCCAATTATGGTTGCGAGAAGGGTGTTTGGGGTCTACGCTGCGGCTATTCTTTCACGGGTGGTTCTGGACTGAAACTTCAGATTTTCATGATTTGTGCGGGCTGGAAAGCTTGATCACATGTTCATGTATAGTTGAGCGCACATCTCAGCAGCATGAGCAGAATCCGAGAGCCTCTTTTGAGTCGTGAGTCACGCTGTTCAACATGCCCTCCGCGTCGTCCCGCTTCAAGAGCTGCATGTCCGGTTAGTGGACGTCTACGCCAACATGTCAGTCTGTTAGATTAGTGAGAAATTTGGGGCGAGTTCGGCGTCCCACACCCGAATTTGATGTCGCAATAACAGGACGATCCAGAGATTTCGGATTCTTGAAAGGCACCGCGTTTGGAAGTCAGCCGTTGCTGAAGGCGGCATGCTTGATTCACAAACCGGGCCTTGTGCTCCCATGTTGTGGCCGTCCCGTGTCGACCATATCTCCCACGCTCAGTGATCTTTTTGTTGTGTGCCCTCGTCGGCGCGCTTCTCGTTTTGATGGCCAGCTTGTTGTGGTGGCTGCACCTGCATTGGTCACCTCACCAGACCCTGCCGGTCACTTACTGTGCTGCATGACGAAGAAGCTGTAGACAGAGTCTGTTTGGGACAAGACTCACATGGACTTGTTGTGCTGTGTGCTGGAAAAATGTTCTCAGCTACAGGGTGGACCTACCATAGCAAGGGTCAGACTACAGCAACAGAAAACACACCGCTTCTGACGTGTCAAGGCTTCAAGAACCCTTTTCAAGCATGGTAAGTACACCCTCTCGCACTCAGCTGGGTCAATTTGTGCAGTTTGGATGTCCTCCAAAACCGAATATCGCACTCGTTGTGTGCTGACGTCGTTGGTCCGAGTTCGATTGCGAATACGTATATGTGCATACACACACGCACATTTATATCTAGACACACACACGCACAGTATGTACACTTGTTCCGAACATGTGTCTACACGAGGTCATGTATGCGGAAAGGATCGACAAACCTGTGTATATGTGTATATATATATACACACCTTTGTATATATATATATATAT